AGGCACTTAGGCCTGGCGACTCTTGGCCCTTCGAGGCGAAGAATCGAGAGATGTTTCTCCAAACATCTCCGAGTTTCTTCGTCCTCGAGGACAAGAGTATTGCCTCGTCAATGCAGGCCCGCGCCCCCACTTCCTGGGACTTTCCCAGAGAAAAGGGGCTACTTAAGGGAGCCCCGAAAAAGGCACGGAGGCCTTTTGTCGTAGACATTCTCTGCACGCGCATCATATAGTTTACATTTGAAATTAGTTTAAGCATTACGTTTAAATAAATATATTTTCGTTACCCACTTGGCGAGCAATCATTTGCACCACGTCACTTCCAAACTGTTATTATTATTATTATTTATACAAAAATTAAAAGAAAATCTTTGGACAACGTTCTAAAAGTGGAAGATATTTGTTTGTCTTCCTTTTTTATTTATATAAATATTCATTTTTCATAGTAAAAATAAAGTTTTTTGAGATTTCTTTACAAATTTCCTAGGTGTTCCATATTAGGTACCATTTCTTCAACTCGCCGCGTTTAACTTTTTTCACATTTACCACCATAACTTCAAGACACTTAAACTTTTGCATAGTTAACTATTAACGTATGAATATCTATTAATTTTGTCGTGTTTTGGCAAGCTTGTAAAATTAGGTGTTCCATATTAAGTGGAGTTTCCCTATATCCTCTAAGTAAAAATAATGTAAAATACTAGATTGATATAATTTTATGAAAAATTAGTCCGAAGAAGGACAAAAAATTAAGTTATGTACCCCTGAAACATAGAAGATGCTTGCAAATGGTTCTTTAATACACTTCAGCAACGAGTCCGGTGTTCTTGGAAGTTCACTCTTACTTGCACGGTAAACAGTTGGAAATAACTTGCATAGAATAACAAACAAGAAACTAATTCAGTATAACAGCTTATAGCCATTGTTTAAGGTGCTTGAGAAATCAAAGAAATATTTCTAGAACGAAATGCGTCTTACTTCCTTGTTTCATGGACTGATGTCGTTGAGGAACGACTGTACGACATTCCATCACATTCGAAACGTGAAATTTTCATTCATTGTTCCGTATGAAATATGTCCTTTTTTCTCTGTCTCTAGCGAATGACAACAGCATAATCCATTAAACTCACATCGCAACGTGTTTAGAGGTCAACGTCACTGGACTTTTGAATTAGCACGAACTGTGAATGAACTGAGATCGTATAGATTCAACGGTAGAAATTATTTTATCTGATCATTCAGTAAGATTTTCGTTTTAACCATAACGTTAACAATATTATTAATGTTACACGGTGTATGAGAAAATCTTGAACAACTTTTCATAGGCAATTTAAGTAACATTAGCAGAGATTTAAGGAATAGTTATACTGTAATATTTACTTGAAAATCAACTTATTTGGTAAACAGGTTTGTAATTGTGTATAGAAACTTAAATGAGTTATACAAATGAAAGAACATTTTTAATTAAAAACAAATATTAGAATACTTTTTTATAAGTTAAACAATATTTTCCATATTCAGTGTAACTTCTCAACACTTACTGTATATTTGTATTAAGCAACGCCTATGCTTCTTAGACTGTAGGCACATATACTGTATACACTACCGGCCGAAAGTTTGGAAACACCTTTCACTTTTCATCGATATTCAATCTGCTGCTAATTTTTTATAGATTTGAAGTTTATCTCAATTCCACATTTATCAATTTATCTCGTATCAATTGATTCGAACGATAAAAATTTCTCAAAGTCGCTGACTTTTTTCTGGAAATTTTTATGTAAATTGCAACGCTCGGTGATTCCAAACTTTCGGCCGGTAGTGTAGGTACCTTTTTAGCTGAAATATTATTTTCTCATCTTAAGGTAGTTATTTAAAGTTATTTAAATATCGAGCATTGTGTTTTATGCATAGAAGCTGAAAATACTTTTTTTTTTCGAGAACAGCTAACATCTCCCATTCAGTATTAAGAGGTCAATATAACTGTGACTTTTAAATTAGCACTGCCTATGTAGCTGTAAATGAGTCGAGATCACTGCTGCTTGGTCGGTAGAAAGTGAATCGATTCGAATACATTCACCTTTAACTAGCAACATCGACTGTCAACGATGGTCAATAAGAAAATATCTTTTTTATCATTAAATGAAATCAAATTTGAATTACTAATTGTTAATTATGTCAGTCATCGGTTATATAATCATGGTATGAAATATACAGATAATATATACTAAAGGGGATACTAAAAGTATCACGCATAGTTATCAGCTACTGTTTTAATGTTATTGTCATTTGTTTATTAAAGAAAAGATTCTCCTAATTAAATGTTTTAAAATCTTTTCACGTAAACACATGTATATTTAGTGCGACTGTACAATGGTGTATTATACATTATAAAAATGGATGCGATGAGTATCAAATGACAAATCGAAAATGTCATTTAAGACTCATTTATTACTTAATAACAACAGTAGGATGTATGTATGACCTCTTATCAGAAGTTGTTCAGTAGCAAACAATTACATCATTTCGCGTACATCAAATTTTATACATTGTTGTATCAATGCTTCATAACAATGAAAATTATTTTTGACGCTTAAATTTATTCGAATGTATGTAATTACATGGTGCATTTAATATTATAGATCTTGAGACAGCAATTATGTCAAAACTAAATATTTGCTAGTTTACTTTTAAAGTATCCTTTCACCTCAATTTTTTATTACTACAGGGTGAGACTGGGTAGCCCCGGACACTTAAATGAAATAGTACAAAAATGTACCAACGAAAGGTATTTAGTCAAACTAAGCTTTCAAAAAATGAACCTTAGACCTTCCTCTTTTACTATAATTCTAAAATTTGAGTATATCTTTTATATGACTTTAAGAAAAAAATCGGTGAATTTTAGTCGTTAGTTTTAAGGATTCAAAAAATGGCGGGTAGCCCCGGACGGTAATTTTTCTATTTATTTTGTTCACTTTGCTGTTAAATATTCTTATAGATGTTGCAAGTAGTATTATATCATTCATTATTATGTTATTAAGTATTATGTATTTATTATTGTAAGTCTTCCCCGAAAGTTACTTCACAAACTAGTGTCTTGATGCTATTCTATTTTCTTTGTTGAATCTATGAGGAATATTAAGACGTTCTGCCAAATCAAAAGCTAGTTTTAAAAACTCTATTCTGGTCTAGGCGAGTGTCCAATTGTTTCACGTGATTATAAAGTTGCCATGAAAATTCCTTATTAAAAGTTGAGTCAAAGCGACCTAATTTCGGCTGAAGAATTATTTCTTGACCGCTTTTATCTTGTAGAGAACTACATGGCACGTTATATTTTTCAGTAGCTAATTTTATTGATAGTTCACCGTTCATAACATAAACAATTGCGTCTTTCATGTTATTTTCATCCCATTTAAATTTCGGCATTTTTTACCCGTTTTTAAAGTAAAACTATTTATTGTAAGAAATGCGAGATTTCTTAGAGATCAGAAAGAGAAAGCGCGCGGGTACCTGCGGGTACCATAAGCCCTTTCCCCGGAAAGTCGAACGAGGGGGCTCCAATGGTTTTCCGGAGCAACGCGGGTCCTCAAAGAGGACACTCTCATTATAGCCGTCGAGCAAGACGGACACCTGAGTACCTTAGTCACCGCTTATATTAAATAATACATTTTGGTTAATAGCCTATCGTGTGTTCGTTTTTTTAAGTTGTGCTAACACATAATCCAATATTTTTATTAACCATTTTTATAATACCAAAAAAAAAATTTTTTAAACTCAAGAATCCTAAACTACATTTAATTGTCAAAACATAAAATACATTTAGTTCAGAATAAGGTTTGATAAAATTTGATTGGAACAGGAATATCGCTTTTAATCGTAACAAAATTAAGTGTAGTATCAGTATCGCTTGCCCAATCGATCTACAACCAACTGAAAAATGTGTTTGGCGCTAGGAAGACGCGTGGCAATGTGTCATTTGTTTCTTTATGCAAATATTCAACTGTCCGGGGTTACTCGCCGTCCGGGGCTACCCTCACTTCCCCTACTAGGAAATAGAAAACTGCACAATTTCCTGCAAACTGCTTTCTTATACCACTAAAAATAGTGTAACGGTGATCTACTCAAATAATGTAATCAACACGTAAAATTGCGCTAAAATTGTGGAAAAAGAAACGTTATGTAAAATTTCACATTTCTGATAAAGTAATCAAACTTCTTTCTAATTTTAATATAAGTATACTGGATGAGGCACTTAATTTGAGGACTTCAAATTACTCGTAAATTACTTATGTGGCGGGTACGTCGTTGCCAACAAACCCTTACCGAACCTTGTTCTATTCTTCCACGCGATCTTTCTCTGTTGTGACCTGATGAGGACGCAACGAAGTCTCGGTTCGGCGGATTATAGTAATAAGCCACTTAGTCACATTTAGCCGCCAGACCGTAGGTTGTTTTGCTTGAAATGTTTAATAAATAGGAGAGTAACAATTTTCAGCAAGTGTACTTTTTAGCTATAATGTGTTTCCAGTCTTCTTGTTCATATTAAATGGTCTAAAATATTTCTCGTACTAGTAAAGAACAATAAAAAATAAGTTTCACACATAACTCTCGTCTGTCTGTTACTCGGTGTATTTCGTCAAGTTAGTTTAAAATATCTATGAATGGCAATAGGTAACGTTTCGTCGGTAGCTTAAAAACAATCTCATCACTAGAATTAATATAACATAACGGTTTCGAGGAACTACATAAAATCATTGATCTTCAACTACCAATACTTTCTTATACACATCGTTCTACCTTAAAATATCAAGTTGTTGCGATGAAATAATAAACGTGACAACAATGAAAATTACAGGGTCAATTAAAATGTAACCTTCTATACATATACATATATGAAAGCTACTCGTACGTCCTCAATAATTACATTCTCCTTCGTCAATTTCGTTAAAAAAACAGTAAAAAGTACGTAGCTAATAAAAACGTATTTAATAATGATGTGTCGTATCTTTAGTATACTGTCTGTTTTGAAAAGCAACGTTAGGACGTGATCTCTTGATTCGGGTTACCGTGACTCGTAGTGCTCGAAGCACAATTTTCATCATTAACGACCACGTTTATCGCGTAGGAACTGCTGTCGGCTGTGTTATCTTTGTTATTTCGTGTTTGTCCGTCGTTCGGGCAAAACGGTCTTCCGTCCGACGGATTTTCGATTGAGTGACACGGCCGTGGGTCCTCCTCGTCGTGGACGGTGAACTTCTTCAAGTCGATTGTTGATAAGCTAGGGATAATTTCCTTCTTTTCAAGCTTCTTATTTATGGACTGTACATGCTTCTTTGTCACTAGGTCCGAGCTCGAGTCTTCTATGAATTTTTCTTTGGAGCAGCACTGTGAGGAACTGCAATGTTCGCCATGGCAACGAATTAGGCAACCGGCCTTCTCCATGTTTGGCTTCATCTGTTGACGGTGAAAATGCGATAATGAAACTCTTCGTGCTCTTTACAGTGTTAATTGCTTAATCATTTAATATTACGAATAATCAAGCAAATTTCGTTTGGTCTGTACAGGTTAGGTTAGTCAAAAACAATAATTATCCCTTTGCACTCAAGAGCCAAGATCTAACATTCAAATGTTATATTTTGTATAATGTAAGAGTATATCAATTATCAAAAAAAAATGATTTTTATTTGAAAGATCGTTTGAAAAAATTTTATATATTTGCTGGTATCTCAATGGCAAAAAATTTGTTGAAGACAAAAAGCTAAAGTTCAGTGTTCTGTTGCTTTTTATACATATTAAAGAATGTGAAAAGTGCACATGTAAGGTTTCCGAATGGATAATTCTTCAGTGCCTTGAAACGAAACCTAAGAATAACCTTCAGTTGCATCCCCTAAAAGTGAAATACTTTTTAGGATGATGTATTTATATACGTATGCATATGTCATAATTTAGAATATCCTATATAGAAACTAGTTATTAAATGAGAAATAGTGAAAAACAAATAATACGTATTTCGCAATAAAGATATTAATTAATCTCTATTAGTATTAAACAATTAGTTAAGTATTATTAATTTCATACGCAAAAGTGTATTTTTTTCACTTTTCAGATTGAACTTTATAAACTATTTCTTCATATTTGATATTTTTTTCGGAAAGCAAAACATGTGACAGATAGCAGAGTACAAAGCATTTTGTTTATCAAGTGATAATATGAGGTCAACACTCGCTACCCATTTGAAATGTCCCACTTATTTATTAACGATTGTACCTATTTCTTACTTATCGGCAAGCTTTAGTCTGACTGCGTTCAATTTTGTATGTTCACTTTATCAAGTTAAAGTAAGTAAAATTGCGTGTTTAATCAGATAAAGTGTTTTACGGATGTTTCGTTATCCTATCATTTATACTAAATAGCTCGTTCGACATTGCGATTTTAATTTATAATTAGTACATATCTCCCTATATCGGTTAAGAATTACTATTTCACTTCATTTTTTATTCTTATCGTTTCTGGCACTCTACAGCGAATGAAGAGCACAGGGGAAAAGATAAGTGTCCGCGTAATGTTACTTTGAGTAAAATTCACTTCAAACATTGAAGGCCTATACTGATTCTTTACACATTATTGAATTAATTAACACTTTCTTCATAATCACGTTAAAAAGATGTATCATCACAACAGAAAGACGCGGTACAACATTTACTCTCATTCTTTTTCATCTCATCCTTTTTCTCCTACACAGTTATTGTTTAAATGGCAAGAACTTGGAGCTTTCATGTTTTCCTCCATTTCTAAATACAAAAATGAATTCTACAATACAAAATAGAGCCATATGTGTTCAGATATCGTAATACGTAAAATATGGATTCTTATCCTTTTTCTCTTGTGCTCTTCAAATATGTTGTTGCAATTTATGAAAACTTTTACATACCTTATGGAATTCCGGTTGTATCGTAACTTGAGTTATGCCCATCTCTATGAAAAAGGCAGTAACTTGATCCGTAATACTGGCATAAACCTGTACAACAAAACATTTACAGACTCATTAATGCTGCTCTTTATTTAACAGATTTACGAAAAGTAGAAAACGCACCATTGGATCCAAGAAAATTATGTGAACTGTGGATATTATCTTTTGTCCCGTTAATTGCCATACGTGCAAGTCGTGAACGTTTACTATACCCGGAAAAGCTTCGAGCAATTCTCTCTTAAGGGAATCGATATTTATGTGATTTGGGATCGTTTGAAGCAGTATCAAACCAGATTCTTTCACTGTAACAAAAGTTTTCATACTGTAAAAGTTTCTGTTAAACAGACACTCGGAATAAAATGTTATTTACAAAGTTCTATTTGTAAAACGAGTATAGAAGAAAAACGAGACAAGAGTCACGGGGGGGGAGGAAGAGGAGTGAATTGAATATTTGGGTTTTCGTTACAACTAATTGCGTTTAAAAACATACAAACGCACAAATTTACGAAATTTCGATGCCGGGATTTGAAATGGGAGCCGCGATCAACAACTGTGATTAAATCGTTTTATGATAAAGTGGAAGATTTTTAGGCAGTAAACTCCCTCTTATCTAATCTTGCTTTAATCGGCCGCATTTTTAAAACAATTAACACATTCCGTGTTACTTACGTAACTTATTCGTAGTTCACAATATTTATCATAAAGATTAGAAACATCAATCGAACGAATAAGAACATTCTTCGAACTTCGTTTTGAAATAAAATAAAAGAAAGACGCTGGAAGTGTACAGAATTTAACTCAAGGGTTCTGTTCTTATAGTCCAAAATTGTAATCCAACTTTTTCATCATCCAATATCTAATAGTCTGTCTGTACATATACAGGGTGAGTTATTTAACTGTGCCACCTAAATTTGTTGTATAAAGATAAATTTTCAAACAAAAGTTGTTCGGTATCAAGCGGGGCATACAATGTAATAATTAGTTTTTTGATAGTCCGTTTTTTTATCGAGGTATGAAGGTATGGAGGTAATATTTGATCTTGCTGATCAATCGACTGATGAGTAAAAAATGATAAGATATATGGGATTAAAAACTAATAATTAGCAAGATACTCCTTGATTAATCTTTAATGTAAGCAATGCTCAAAACGTTGTCCATTACATCAAACCCAAATGCTAAGGCGACCAATGTGAGCGACTGACGCACGTTCAAGTGTTTCGGGAGTTATACCATTACATGTTCTAATGATACGATCGTTCATGTCTTCAGGTGTCGTAGGTGGTTTGCAATAAACTTCATTTTTTAATTGTCCCCAAAGAAACTAATCAAGTGGCGTCAAATCCGGAGACCGAGTTGGTCATGGAGTTTGTCCTCCACGTCCAATCCATCGATTACGGGATAATCTCTGCAATACTTGACGTGCTTGTTATGCGTAATGTGCAGGACAACCGTCGTGCTGATGCCACATTGTTGAAATTGTTTGTAACCGTAAATTTGATAGTAAGGATGGTAGCGTTTCAGACAAGAAGATGGAATACTTGTGTCCTGTCAGTGATCCCTCGATAAAATACTCCCTCAATAAACGTTCCATCATCTTTCACTGAAGAATATCTCGGTAATTATCAATTTTTGTCCCCATATATCTTATAGTTTTTTACTCGTCATTCAGTAGGTACTCTTTCGAACCACAAAGCCAAATAGTACACATTATGATACAAACTTTCAAGGTGATCTTCAAAAACTCTCAAAAAACTAATTATTACATTGTATAACTTTCGTTTGAAAATTGTTTTGATACAACAAATAGTTTACGAGTAAATTTAGGTGGCACAGTTAAATGATTCACCCTGTAGGTATACACGGGACATGGCAAAAGGTTTTGCAAATGAATACAGTGTACTGTAATAATACTATAATTTTTGAATAATATTTGGGTCACAGTCAATTCACATAGACATGTTATAGAAGAATTTGTATAACTCTCATGTGATGGTTAAATGAAAGAAAGAAATAATTGAAATTAACTGAATAGCCCATACGCATTATTTTACATTAAAATTTAACAACCTATGGGACACGTTTAATACTATCCAGTTGAACTTACAACATTTAAATGTTATTTTTTCATGCATTGGAAAAATTTTAGGGAGTAAGAGTAAAATATTCGATAGAAAAAAGGAACCAATCTAATGTACAAGTAAAATGGATCACTGGTAACTCAGGATAATTTCCTGGCATAAAACTTTCATTACATAAAAAAACCTTATTCTTCGATTCGAGCAAAGTAAGAGTAACGTAAAATAAACCTGTCCAAACAGTACTGTCACTCTTCTTCTATACTTAAATATTACTCAACTCACGAGGGTAACTTTTATCCTCTAAATATGGACGATTGTCAAGAAAAAAATACGTGTCGTACTTATATTGTTTAAAAAAAATCGTAAAAAATTGACAATAAAATTGTGACTTGTATGATATCTATCGTAAGACAGTGTTTTCTAGAATGTTAGACTTTCATTTCAATACTTACTGTACGAATAACTGAGCGCAAAAAGAGAAATGGCAGAGATAATGGCGAAGAAGGGATCGATAAATTTGGCCACGTCGGAGTCAGTAAAATATACTAATATGGACACCAAGATGACAAAAACACAGCCCAACGCGTCACGGCACGTTTCTCGAAAACCTTGGCTCTTTGGTATACCCAGTGGACTTCGTCTGGTTTGGGAAGATAACTGTTGTTCACCCTCCTTCACTTGCTGCGAGTTGATATTCCTAAAAGTAGATAACCGTATCTTAACTTTGCAAGGATTTTACATTTCGTAGAATTTGAAGTGACAGGAAATACGGAAATATGGTAGAATCATAACTGTTTGAATTAATTATCTGAGCGCAACAATTTCATCGCCTTATGAAATACGCAAAGGTTAAAAATCATAAATTATTAGATTAAATATCGTTGCATCTATCTATGTAGTAATTCATCTGGTAATCGAATTATTTAACTTTTAATTTATTTTTAACTTAAACTACTCCATATTTTATTCCGTGACTGTAAGTTCGCCAAATCACATGTTGCAAATAATTACCGCGGACATCTCTAGTATTCGGTAAACGCAATATAACAGAACGAACTTTTAATTTTTAAATAAGTAAACCAGGAATGTGCTGTACATGATTAAATTTCCACGGTATCAAAAAATATTAATTTTTAAGCGTTAAATATTATAAAAATTCATTGTATAAGGCTGAAAGTTATATTAAATATTGTAACCTGATAATTTTAACAAATAGCTCTAGCAAAATTTTCTAATTTTACTCTGCACACGATGAATCCACGAAAAAGTTTTTGACTATCATATTAAATCATAAGGATACCACATTAATTCCTGAACTTTTCTGTGATTGTATGACACTTCCAGAATATAAACGAAATAAGCATTAACTCCAACAACCCCCTATTGGATTTTAGAGAAAATTACGAAAATCAAGACAGTTGTATAGTCAATTGCTGTTTTACGTAAAATGTATCGCGCATAATAAAACAAAGATTATGTTTTTACCAAAATTGAGGATTATATTTCAATGTGGAGCAAAAAATAGTAAAAGGTGTCCAGAAAGAATGATACGAAATGTAAGTAACGCATTCGGAATGTCAAACATTGGAAGAAAATTTATATGAATCAGAAAATGCATTATCATTTCTCCTAAGCAGTTACAAGAAGTCAAAGACCCATTGTCCCTACCTTACCTTATATTTCCGAACATATTTTTCGATTATTCGAATAAGTGCCATAAATTCTTAGACACTGGCAAAACTTTCTTCGTTAGTTTCGTGCAGTTACTTCAGTAATTTCATATAAGTGCAGATTATACAAGTACCTCCGTAATATTACGTCTCCGTTCATTGTGACATGCAGAACGATGCCCTGATTAAAGGTGTATCCTCCAATCAAGATGTAACAAAATGTATTGAGAAGAATGCCGCACGCACCAATTGTTAGAACAGGCATTGGATGATGCATTTCGTCTAAGTGATCTATGTGTATCAGAGTCTGTAACGCTTCCACCAACAAGGAGAAGCAGAAAGACGCTAGAAGCACGCAGCAAACGAGCATCGTCACGATATCTATCCTCGCCCATCCGAAAGTATTCTTCATCCGCCTGTCCGATCGTGATTGCTAACGAATACATACTATTCTTTATTTTACATCGCCTATGCAATTCAGATTAACAATTAAACTTCTATTGAGTAATTCATGCAGAATTTAAAAAATTGCCCTTGGCTCCGGTATTATTAACCCTCGGACAGAGGATGGCGTGATAGCCGCACGCACTGCGGATGCCGGGTCAAATGTGACCCAATACTAGAATCTTTTCCGTACGTAAGCGAAATCATATTTTTTTATTTTACTAGGCGTTATATTGCTTAAAATTATATAAATATATTATGATTAAAAGCTGGGTCAACGGTGACCCGGCATCCGTCATCAAAAGTTTAACAGTCGATAATTGAAACCAATTTTAATTTTTCTCTAAAGTTTGACTTATACCATTTAAAAAGAAATATAACTTTCAATGTTTCTACTATCGTATAATTAATTGATTTGCAGCTCTAAAGCATCCAGTATATCCTTTATATAAACCATTTACACAAATGTTGGTTTCTATTTATATTACGCTAGATGAAATTACAAATAACAAACAATTAACTCTTAACGAATTATGTAATAGAACAGTATAGCAATGTCATAGGAAATGTGAAAACTTCCAGTCCAACTTTATAATTTATACCATTTTCTTGAAAGTATTTAATGATTGCTTTAACATGCAATAAAGTATTACCTCGTATTATTTTATTCTTACCTTGGTCTTCGTCGACAGAGATGTTGCAGAAGCTCGTTCATCGCCACTTATGCAAATTGCGGAATTTCGTACGGAACTAGAGATGCTGTGGCCGCTGTGACTGTTACCGCTTTGACGATGACTATACTACAAATAATGGATAGGGGAAAGCGGGGTAATTCCGGTCAGTGTGTCATTCCGGCCACTTTAATTTCTTAAAATTAAAAACATGTGATTTGACTTTGTATGGTACTGCCACTTGGTAATGATGCGGCTAGTTAATACTCATCGTTTCTGCAACTACAGCAGCCTTTTATCTTAAACAATACCTGTATGTTCATTTTGCAACCTAGCCTTGTAGCAATAGCCAATTTTCAAGCAAGATAAAGTAGTGCTTGGAATCGGCATAAATTATTAATATTAGTCTCGTTAAATAGAAGAATGTTTCTACTTTCACGGTGATATTTGGTTTTTTGTGATATGTACATAAATTCTATTCAGTGTATTACTTCGAATATCTGAACATGAGGTGTGGGGTAATTCCAGCCAGCTTTTAATATTGCAAAGAATTAAAAAAGATAGTTATAGTTTTCATCATATTTACATTATTTTAAGTTATGGTTTTCCAAATGAAAATACTTCTACGTTCTAATGTTGCTACAAAAATTGGAAGAAAACCAAGAAATCCAGTTAGCAAACAAAAGTGAAACCACTGCTAACTACTGTTTTAATTTAAATAAAATTTTAATTAAAAGTTTAATTTAAAAACTCTTTTATAAAGAGAAAATAACCTTCTCCCGTTTTTTGCTTTCAATTTTATTACAACGTAAATTTATACTTTCTCGACCATACTAATACAAAGTAGACACTTCAAGCTATTAATTAATATCAAAAAATTAACAAATGTGTAATTTGTTCAAATTTTATAGCATTTCTTGCATATGTAGCCGGAATTACCCCGCTCTCTACTGATCTAGTATTTGAAATATTCTAGGCGAATAACAAAATTAATTCATCGTTCAATATACAGCCCAATAAAATACATTGTGCAAAATTATTTTCGAATTTTTAAAAAATGTATTCTTCGAAATACTTGGTTGTCTGCTAAAATTTTTTTTAAATCAAATTCAACACATTATTCAACATACAATCGATATTAATTCATAAGTATTAAAACATTACGAATTTTTAAATAATCCAATTTAAACAGATTGCACTGATCAACATGATTTTTGTCACAAAGAATATTTACATTGGTTCTTATGTATTTTTCGATGCTGAATTCGAATCTGCAATCAAAATTTCTCCATCACCTATAGTTTTTCTGCAATAATAATTCGTATTATTTAATAATAACTAAATTCACAGTTATTTTATCAATAATAGTATAAATACATAGAGTGAATTTAATTTGTGCTTAGTGTATTCCGACAAATGAAATCCTAATAGTAAAGAATTTTATTATATATAGGGCAAATAATTATTTTATTTTATGAAAATCTGAGTGCCCATTTCATCGGGGCATTTCGTGCATGGAAAAGCGATATCAGGGCAAATGTAGTGCCAATACGCTGGCTGATTACTGCTCATCAACAAGTAACACATTTTAGATAGATAATGTTGTACAGTTTCTAAATATATAGAATTGTACGAGTTATTAAATATTAAACTGTGTCACACAAAAATCCTGCGTGATGGAAATAAACGGATTACATATATGAATTCAGCATAAAAAATACTATTAAACTTTACGTGACAAAAAAAAGTCAAATTGTGTAGACCAGTGTTGTTGACACACGTACATTATTATATTTGTTAAGTGTTATTTTAGATAGCAATAAATCACTTTTTGTTCCGTACATTTGTCTTAATGTCAACGACATTAAAGTAAATTAAAAGTGTCCTTTGTGTCTGATATATCAATTTAAATTGAATAAAAAGATAATACTGGGCACAAAGATGCCCCATATGACGGCTCGACAATGAAATAATAGCATTGTAACGCGTGTGATGAAAATTTATAGTTAAAGTTTCACATCTCTTTTCAGAATTGTAAAATGCTTATACAATGTATGAAATAGTAATTAATAATTATTTTTATTTTTTACAACGTGATGTACTTTCTTTCATGACGCGGTGTGCTCGAATACATTTGGAATTGACTTAGCGATTCGCAAAGAAATGTGACTGTTATAATTGTTATAACTTATTATACTTGAAAGTTAAAATTACAGGTTTATCCACTAATTATCATTATGTGAATCATGTTTCTTAATCGACATTTCAAAATTTTAATTGAACTACTACAGCAACTACTTATCGATAAGAATTTGAGCAAAATGGACTCTGTTATCACGAAGCAGTGAATTGCTAAAAAGTTTAACCCTAACACTTGCCTGTTACTATAGTGTATACTTTTACATTCGTACTTATAGCAACATCATTGCAATAATCATCGCACCTTTTAGGAAGGTAACGGAACTGAATGTACATGTCGGGTCACAGGTAACAATTTTCAAATTCATATTGCTCTAGTTTGTATCTTTGCTGTAGAAAAATACTAAAAGCTGTGTTTTTCATACTAATAAAAGAAAGTGTAACTCTAAGAGTAGACTAGAATTAAAATTTATTATTATTTGAAATTGTAAATAGGATGTCACCCATACAGAGTGCCACATCAAATATCTCCATTATTTCAAGTAATAAGCGAAACTATTACTTAAAAAAGTTGTATGATTGCATGAAAAACATAAAATGGTGGCAATGGTTTCTTTACAGGTGGAGGTGTAGAAAAGATCTGGAGGTCGATTTCGTTATTTAAATCCAATTTGTAGTCAAATTAAACAGAATAGCGAATTCTGAGTACAAAACTACTAGGGGATAGTTATCTTAAAACTCATTTTTCCTGAGATATTCGACTTTGTCCATTTTATTATATATTTTAATTCTGAAAAATGTTGGAAGCTATGCGCAGTACTTCAAATGTAAACAAACAGTAGGTAGTAAATATCGTGAAATGGTATTGTTTAACATATGCTGGAATAGACCCTGAGACGATAAGGAGTCCATGGGATTCAAAGGAACAGTTCATGAACAGCATTGTGTCGATGCACATGATCGAATATTTTTACTGTTTTCGCTTATTATTTGAAATAATGGAGATATCTAAGATGGACATAGTTGGTGGGATACCCTGTATATAGAAAACACGAATAAATAAAAATAAGATGTTACAACCAAGGCTTGATACCCAAGGACAGATACAAACAAAATTGTGTTTGCAAAGAAGAAAAAGATTTAAATTCCGAAGATCAATTTCACTATGATCGCGTATAACTATGCTATAATAACAATAATCAGCTTCCTTGAAGCCCAGTACTTATATACTATTTTTAAAACCACGATGAAGCCCAATCGGTTCTACTCCCATAAATTACGAAGGAATGCATTGGTTGAAAATACAAGAATGCAAAAGTAGGAATGTCATTCGAAACGATGATATTAACCATATGAAGAGTCCAGGAAAAAAACGATCACAGTCATAAAAAGTAAACTTTTCAGTATTTGAAAAGCATACTTTGTGAACTCTCCCCGCGTTTAAGTACATTAAATGTTCTTAAAAAGTCTATTCATAAATTTTATGAAGGAAAACTTTGTTTTTGTAATCCGAACTTTGTTCTAACATTATAAGAATATAGACTACAATCTTTTCTTCCCTAGGAAATATTTACTTATTTAATTATTTATTTATCCAAATCATCTAGTTGGACTTCGCACATTCTTCCATTAGAGAAATATGTGACATTAATCGTTCTTTCCCGAACCCAGGATTCTTTGGCCCTTAATTCTTCTGGACTACGATCGTTTTTCTCTTGGACTCTTCATATAATATTGCAGTAGATATAAAAAAATGCTGATATCAAACTATTATTTCAACGATCCGAGAAAAGGTATTTACAATGAAACTTACCTTTATTGTCGCGATGCAACCGATAAGCGCTATTATGTTGCACAGCATGTGATAGGCATTGAGCAGTAACGTCAGCGAGTGAGTCACATGACTGGCGACCATCTCGACGATGAAGAAAGCAGTGGTGAAGAACAGGACCAGGTACAACTGGACCGGCTGCAGTCTTCTGAACCATTCTTTTACAGCCATGACCCTGTAGCAAAGGCACACGGTGAACGTTCCTATTTTGTCCTAGACACGTTGGTCCCATCTACTACAGAGATCGATTACCGTTGTTCTATCGCGTTCTCTTATGGTAAACTTTTTTTCTTTCCCCTCGCCGCAAAGTTCGAGAAGGCAAAATTTAACGTAATACGCAATACTATATCGGATATTTAGGATATTGTACTTTGTACTCTTTATTTCGAAGTATTGTAGTCATAGCTTTTGGTTTCAGTTAATTATGTTGCTAATTTAACTTAGATTATGGTGGGTCTTCGTGTAATTTTTATAACATAAATATCAGTACCAAATTCTTCGTTCGAAATTTTTCTAAAATGGTAAAATTTTTAGAATCTCTCAATATGTACGGAAATGACTAAAATTCAACAAAATACTAAATCTCAACTTTGATTTTAACCGAAGACGGTAATTTTTAGTTTCGAGTGTAATTATTGGAATGATTTAGTAATGGTAATTTCTAAGCGGAAAAAATTCTAAATCTAATGAGAGTAATTCTTTTCATGTTAATTTTATTTTCAATTTATGAACAAATCACCTAAGACAGAAAATACGATATGCTTTAAATCACAAGATTACTGGCAAGTATCATACATTCTAGAGATATAAAAAGAGGTAATGTGCTTATTAATTTAGTTTTCTTAATAATGAACAATGTAACTTACAATATTTGACGAGCGTTGCAATTTAAATAAATAATTATCACTTTTTCTCATGTTTATCATACAACTTTATCTCAAAAGCTCGATAGATTTTAATGCTAGCTATAAAAACTTAATTATAAATGAAAATAAAAAAAA